CAATGAATAGATGATGTCAATGTTACTTGGTCATTTACGCCTTTTTTTTTTGGAAAATAGTTAATGGACATTTACGCGTTTATTATTAAATTAGACATATATTGTACCCTAATAAAAAGAAAATAAAAACAAATAGATAAACCTTCATTGTTGTCCCAATTATAGATAAGTCTTTGTTTGTGATGTGGTTATGGCCATTAACTTATTTATTAAGGTTATTAAAATTATATTTTATTTAATTAATATTTGTAATTTTTTAAAATAAATAATTATAATATCTAAAAATATTAATTTATAAATTAATTTTAATGTATTAAATAATAAATATAAATTATTTTATAATTATAAATTATTTTTAATAATTAAATTTAATTTAGTTAATATTTTTAATTTTGAAACAATCTTAACCTTAATAAAAAAAAAAAAAGGGTGACTATAAACACTCCTCGTCTCCCAATTGTATGCCCTTAATACACGTCCAGCATGGGTGACCGCAATCATCGCACGCGGCTAGCATGCCTATATGTACACATCCATCCTAACCTCCCTAACCAAGACATAGCTTCATCAAAAAATTATATTACCAAAGGAATTAAGCTCAACCAAAAACAATGAACATTTGCCCCTTCTTCTTTGGCCTTACCTTGGTCGTTCTCTTTTCAGGTACATTAATTTTTATATTTTTTTTTAAATTTATCATCGAGGTATTTTTAAACTTGCTTTCAAGCATTTAGAGATTAATTTTTTTCTTGACAATTTTAAAAGTATACATTATATCAATTTAGTCTATTTAAAAAATTAATTTTTTTAAATGTTAATATTAAAATTTGAATTTTAAACTTGTTTTTATAAAAGGATATTTATTTATTAGTAATTTCAACCCTTATTGTCGGTGTATCAAATGTTTATTCTAATGATTTATCAAAACTGCATTAATTAATTTAATATGTACATATTTTCTCATTGCAGGGATTCACTCAGCAACTCTCACCGTGAAGAACAATTGTCCCTACACAATATGGCCAGCAACCCAAACTGGCGGTGGTGC